AGCAGTGCGCCACCGGGCCGGCCCTACTCATGTCTTTTTAATGTTTGAAAATCGTCGCGCTCCCAAGCAGCTCACTGTAGCAGTGCGCCACCGGGCCGGCCCTACTCATGTCTTTTTAATGTTTGAAAATCGTCGCGCTCCCAAGCAGCGCACTGTAGCAGTGCGCCACCGGGCCGGCCCTACTCATGTCTTTTTAATGTTTGAAAATCGTCATTTTTGCATTCTAATTCCTAATGCTTCTGCTATCTGTTTGTAATCATGAATATGAAAGGAAATAATTTTACTGGATTTGACTATTTAAGAGCACATTTTTATCTTGCAGGTTTGCAAGTGAGATTGCAGGAGTAGATGATTTGGGAACAACAGGCAGAGGAAATGATATGCAAGTAGGCACATACATTGAGAAGATGTTCATGTCTGAACTGTCTGGGAATATCATTGATATCTGCCCTGTTGGTGCCCTAACCTCTAAGCCCTATGCCTTTACTGCCCGGCCTTGGGAAACAAGGTATTCATCTTTGTGTTTTTTATCCTTAATTCACTGCTATTCAAAAAAATGTTAAGGGTCATTTTCTTCCTGAGTTTTAATTGTTTTGATCAGCTAAGTTTTCCTTTGCTTTAAGTAAAACCATTTTAACGGAAGGTTAGTAGTTAGGTTGAAGGATCAGATGAACCTGTGCAAATTAATTATGGTTTTCTTAGAAATTAATTCTAAAGTATTTAACCACAAAATTATTTTTTTCACTTGTTCTTCCAAGGAGTAAGGTGATAGTCTCCTCTCTTACTGTATATTAAGTATTCATCCATAAGGATATGTCATACTTTACTTAACCAGTTCTTATTATTAGACATTTAGCTTGCTGCTATTTCTTTATAATTACAAATCTATGTAAAACGTTACCATTCATAAATTTTTTTTGTATGTCTTTGATTCTCTTGATTAAACCAAGAAATGGGATAGGTAGATGCAAATATGAATATTTTTAAGATTCTTAAAGTATTGTCAAATTTCCCTCCACTTTTAAACTTTATGCTTTTCAAATCCAGAATTTCTATTTTTTAAAAAATAATTTCTGTATTTTAGAATTTCTACATATTGATTCATGGTTGTCATACTTGTCTTTTAATTCTTTTTTTTTTTTTTGTCTTTTTGTCTTTTTTCGTGACCGGCAACGGATCGCAACCCTCAGTGTCGCGCCTGTACCGGACTGGGACCAGCAACGGGATCGCAACCCTCGGTGTTGCCCCCGCTCCTTGCTCAGCCAGTGAGCGGCCGGTCCATATGCGGGATCCGAACCCTCGGCGGGAGCGCCGCCGCACTTCCCAAGCGGCGCACTGCAGCAGTGCGCCACAGGGCCGGCCCATAATTCTTTGAGCTTGTTTTCCTTTGGCTCTTTGAACATATTTTAATATTATTGTTGTTGTTTTTACTTTCTCAAAAAATTTATTTAATTTTATTTATTTATTTATTTTTATTTTTGAATGAAGCTTCTTAGGAATTGCTACTGCATACTTAGTAGTCAGATAATGACTGTTTTCAAACACCTTGAGCCAATAAGACTTCCATCCTCTGTAAATGGATTTGTATGTGGACAGAGGTACCTATTCACAGTTCAGGCTGTTTTCAAGTCTACCCAGCTTTAACTTTCTGCTGGGCACTTTGAGTTTCAGTGTTGTCCAGGAGTATGTGAATAGTTTGGGCCCTATCTGGTCTCAGTTGCACATATGTGCAGGCTCAGCTAGGAGTGCTTGCCCCACCTATGACTGCGACCTCAGGCTAGTAGACTCTTGGTTTTCCTTAGCTGAAGACCTCTGAGATACCACATCTACAGGCAAGTTTGCCCATTGATCCAAATTGAGTGAATTGTCTCTGTCTGCAGCAAAGAAGCTCCTTCACACCTGCCCCACCCTGGAAAAACCTCCAGTTCAAGGTGGTAGGGAGAGGAATAGAAGTAGTGTCGAGCCAGACCAGCACAGATTTTCAGTGTTCTTACTCAAAGTTTAACATTTTTTCATGCATAAAATTTTTTCACATTGTTGTATGCCTTTGGTAAATTTCCAAGTGTTGAAATTTCCAGATGCTGAAATGGTGGTTTCTGTTAATTTTGTTCAGCTTTATTTTTACATTTTATGTAGAAGACTTGCTGAATTCCTGAATTGGCCATAGCCAGAAGTCTTGCCCCTGTTGTTATTTATTCTGATACTCAAATTGCCCTAGATTTGGCTAGTTGGAGCCCTTTCATACTAGTTTTTGTGTCCAATAATAGTTTCAAAACCTTTATTATTGCAATAGGAATTTATGTGATGTGTTAAAATATGGGGGCACGGGCCGGCCCGGTGGCGCACTGGATAGTGCGCCGCTTGGGAAGCGCGGCGGCGCTCCCGTCCGAGGGTTCGGATCCCCCATACAGACCGGCTCCCCCCCACCCGCTGGGC